CGTGTGCTCTTCCGATCTTTAAAAAACATTAAAAAAATATTGTGTGCTGATTGGGGAAGTGAGAATTATTTATTATTAAATAAACTGTTTTAGGAAACGCAATATATTCTAACAACTAGTGTAAAGATTAAGATTTAATGTTTATATTAAGTATTTTTAAAGAATTTTGATTATTAATAATTGTCAATTAGAGCCATATACATTTTATTTGAAAAATACATTAATTCTGTTTTATTTATTCTTCTATGCTTTTTATTTTTTTTGTATTTAACATTATCCAGCAATAAATATTTGTTATAAAATTTTAAAATTTTGAAAAGTGGTATCAATGTGTTGCAAATGTGATAGGTTTTACGAATATATATATATATATATATATATATACACGTGAAATTTTTCATTATTAAATTTTTCTATCTCTTGGGAAAGAAACCGAAAAAATTGAAAAAACCGGTTTTTTCCAGCCTTTAACATTATACCGATTAGTATATACATATAGTGTGGTTAGAATGTCTCCTTTTATAAATGTGCTGACACAATTAAATAATTGCAATAAATAATGAAATTATAATTAATAATATTTAAAATAAATACGATTGACTTTATTTCGTTTTGTACAAAAAATTAACTTTTTTTTCCTGTTTGACTCGTGGCTTTCTTGGGAAACGTGAATCCAAAACGCGGTTGATTTTGATCCCTATGGGGTTTCCTCTTTAAAAAATTCTATGCGTTTGCATATTTCCGCCACCAGTGATAATCTATAAATGTATAATACGCGGGAAAAATTATCTTTAAAAAGCATATTATTATTCTCTCGCTTAAATTAGCGCTCTGTTTAATGGTTTTACCTATTTAACGTGAAAAGATGAAAACCAGATGTGGCTCCGCTTCTAATCACGTCCGTAATTATTCGCGCTACCAGGTCGACTGAATATTTCCTCGCCGCTTGATCGTCGTCCCTCATTCGTACCAAATCGTCTTTAATTTCGACCGGCACGTCAAGTCCGCACATATTGGTCATTTTCTCCAGACACGCGTGATTCATCGGCGCGAGGATCCCGGGTAGGATCGGAACCCGAATCCCGATTTCCCGGCAATCTCTCACGAAGTCTATCAGGACTCGAGATTCGAAACATATTTGCGTTATGATAAAATCTGCGCCCGCCTCCACCTAAAATTATTTTACATTGGCCGGAGTGTTCGTATTTGGGCAATTATCACTCGCTGATCGCGCAAGATATAATAATTAAGGCTGCGTTCGCTTTATGGCGCTTATACACATTGCTTACAGCAACACTTTATTGTTGTTTATCAAATGTTAAATAAGGACAAATAATGCTTGTAAGCGCCAAACTGCGAACACAGTCATTAAATATAACTCATGTCATTATACATATATATATATACTTTTGCTTTCAGGTAATGCAAGTCCAACTCCTTGGTGGGCGATTCGGGATGAATTTGCGGATAACCCGCGACGCACACGCAGAACGTATCGCCGAACCGCTCTCTGATAAAAGCGACCAGATCTGCTGCGTGCTCGAAGTCACCGCTCTCACAGTCAGACAACGAATCTACAATACAATTCGGCCAAATGTATACATAATGTACCCATGCATACAGCACATAAACTTGCAGCAACATTGCAATAATGTTCCAGCAATATTGCAGCAACATTGCTGCAACGTTGTTGCAATATTGCTGGAACATTATTGCAATGTTACTGCAATATTGCTGCAATAATCTGTGCTGTATGGGACTTTCCCCGACAAAATACTCAAGCAGATTGATAGATAGGACCGGTTTTTATCGCACGAATTTAATTCTCCCGGTTCTGATAATAATCACATTCGCATACGATTCGAATTGCATTAATCGTGGTCGTTTAACGGTACACTACGACATATACGCGATCGTATCTCGAGCCTGCCGAAATGTTGGTATCTCAAAAGTTATAAGTTTATTTTTGAATTTCTGAGACATTTTAATATTCAGATGTGTTCGGAAGATTTAACTATTTAAAGGCAACTTTGATGAAATTCCAATTAACTTAGGCAATAATTAATTCAGGACTACCTACGGCAAAATTTCAAAATAATTTATTATTTCTGATCTAATTTTGTTTGTTTGTCAGAAAAATTAATTATTCTATATATATGTATACGTTAATAGAAAATTATAAGATATATATGTGATTATAAATAAATAAAACGTTCGCCAATTAAGATAATCGGAGCTTTGGTTGAAGGGTCTCTTAAAACTCCAGAAAGATCAATTTATTACCTCCTCGCAATGCAAATATATTAACTATTCCGAAGGCGAGGGCTTTTTTTAGGATGTGCATGACTTCATCACGCTTTAGACTTCTAGCCGCTAAGTGTAAGAGAGTATTGGGTGGAAAATTCTTCGCTAGATCCAACGGCAGATACCCATCGTTATCGGAAGTCGCTTCGTTGTGCCACGTTAACGCGTAAAAGAGGGGCGAATATTCTTCCATACCTACGAGGAGCCTATAATATCCATTATATATTTACTTACATTGCATATGTATATAATTATTTACATATATTTTTTCGTGCATTGATTTTTTTCTGTATCGTCTTCTCGAAAAAAAAAAAAAAAAAAAAAAGCAAAGACCGATATTAGTTTTAAGAAAATCGAGAGAGAGAGAGAGAGAGAGAGAGAGAGAGAGAGAATCATGCACAGTTAGTTATAACCTCAATAAAATACCAAAATATCGAATTCATATCGAAGTGTATCGAGAGAAAAAAAAACTTGCTCTTGTTATTATTCTAATTGAAAAATCATCGTGTTGTCGGTGCTGAAACGCGATATATTTTTCGCTGTACAGACCTTCGGTAAAACGCATTGGGTTTCCGCGTGGAAATGATTTCGAAGCTACAAAATATTTCGCTTTTGCGAATTTTATCTTTTAACAATAGCCGCAGATCAGCGATCTGGGGGGGATCCTCGGTATGAAAAACGCGCGTAGAAGAATCGTCCCTGCCGTCGTTCCCGTCACTTCTCTCGCACAGGTCCTTCTCGAGAATTAAGTTTCTCATTGTGGATTAGCGATAAATATTGATACTATCGTTCCGCGGCCCATACTAATGGCATTTGTGTCGAATTATATAATGTATGGCGTGGAGATATCTCGCGTACAGTGATGTATATATATAGTGAAAAATGTGTGCAATACTACATTATACAATAAATATAATTTGTCGGATTTTTACAAAAGTTACAATTTTTATAAAGTATTTTTACCTATTTTTATTATTTTTACATTATAAGGAAAGACGTCAATCTGCAGCTGATCGATCAATGTTGTACACATATATTGTACATTTATTAATAATAAATGCATAAAATACATATATATTCCTGATGTACATTTATTTGTAATTTTTATTTTAACATATCGTAGCGAGTCGTTTATTTTGAAAATGGTCCCATAACACAAGTTCCATTTTGAAACATTACACGGATTTTAACGAAGGGTAAACCGCTAATCAAAATCAAATGTACAGTCGTGGACACATCGGTTGCGACTTTTTTTTATATAGGTTTCCAATATATATTTAATATACATAATATATATTTTATAGATAACTAATATTTTGTAAATGCGAACCACGATGTACACTCGCTCACTAAAAGATTGCGACACTTTCTTTTTTATAGGTTTCAAAACGCACTAATATTTTGCAAATGCGGACCACGATTGGTGTTATACTCTTAGACTAAAGATAGTATATCGTGGTTTGCATTTGCAAAATATTAGTTATCTATAAAGTATATACGTACGTATATTAAATATAAATTAGAAACCTATAAAAAAAAAGTGTCGCAACCTTTTAGTGAGCGAGTGTACTTTAGTCTAGAGACAGTATAACACCAATCGTGGTCCGCATTTGCAAAATATTAGTGCGTTTTGAAACTTGTAAAAACGAAAATGTCGCAACCGATGTGTCCATGACTGTACACCATAATGCCTAGTAATGCTCAATTTCTGACCGACCGTAATGCCCCACGGATAACATCATAAGAACGCAATCTTATTATTTAGCGTAATTTACTTAACATTCACACTTTATTACATGTTGTAAATATATGTTTGACATAAAACAATTGTCGATTGTTTACAAATAAAACGTAATAGTAGGTCTGTTTTTTATAGTTGGCTACACTAGTTCAGAGTTTATCTTTCTTCTTCCAATGTAGAAAGAGAAAGATAAACTAGTGCAGTAGTTTGGCTATAAAAAATAGACCTCAGTAATGCTCAAGAAATGTCCAGTAATGCCTGTAGCAATGCCCTCAGCGGTTTACCCCTCGGATTTTAATTATGACGTAAACCTATGTAATATTTATTGACACAGAAAAAATTTCCAAAGGAAGTATGGATACTCTTACATCACGCTGAGAGATTCATGGTTCTTTGCAGCTACACCCGCCTCAATGTGAAGAAAATATGTTTAAAAAAAATTATAATTACTAGAATAAACAATCACGAGTTATCTCCTCTCAGATACAGTCTCCTGCAAACTTCTGTGATCGGTATGTCGGATACGGCCGGTATTCCACCCGGGGCGGTTTCGGTCCTCTGCAGAGCGTACTTATCCGTGATGGTGCGAATATCATCGATGTCCGGCGTTATCAGCATATTGATGGCCGGATAAATGAGGAACGCGAATGTAGCCAGAGCGGTCAGCGCCCATATGGGAATCGCGACCGCCCAATACTTGGAGGGCCAGTAAGTCAGGCCTAGATAATCGTGCAGCACCTCGTCCGGTATTATCGCCCATATCACGTACAACAGGAAGAGCATATTCGACCCGATATACATGGCGTATCCGTAGACGGCCCTGGGGCCGTAAGGCGCTGGAGTGTGTTCCATAGCGCGTCTATATTAAAAAAAAAACACACAGGCGAAATATGTACAATCGGGAGAAAATACAATCGACGAATTGTCGATTCAGTAATGACTGTATGTCGGCTCGGGTGGACCGAATTGCTCGATCGTTTCCGTGACTAGCAGTAGATTATCGAAGAAGGAGGTAAGCGCCACGCGCACCTTCCTCGCCTCCTTGCCGCTGAATGACCTGTAAAGAACGACGAACGTCAGCGGCGAAAAAACGACATGCAGAAAAATTTAATGCAATTTTGCGCTTACACGTCCAAAACGCTGTCGTTTAATGCGAGCCTCTTCGTGACTCCGCTGCTCGACGGCTCCTTGTCGACCCGGAGCGCTTGATACGCGACATCTGCTTCTCTAGCGCTTGGAAAAGGCACAGACAGTTCCCTGGTGTGATAACGTTAAGGTTTCAAAGGCAATGAATTGGACGGCAAGTATCTTGCACACAAATAATTTGTAAAACAAGAATCTTATATTACAAACGAGGATCTCTCAACAAATCTTACTACAAAGAAATAATTTGTAAAATAAGGATACACTCTGAGGTCACTCATGGCATTCTATGTTGATTCCAATTGTCTAAATTTAAATTCTCGTCACGTTGTTCTGTAATCATAAATTATAGTAATAAGAATATATATATGTTATATATGTGCAAATCAATATTAAGTAGGGCTGGTGATTTGCCTCGAAGGCTTCGACATTCGAACTTCGAAGCTTCAGCATTAAAATCTTCGAATTCTTTCGAAGTTTCGAAAAATACATTCATGCAAATAATAATTTATTCAAAAAATTTATAAATATTGTATTAAAAAGAATTAATATATATATGCTCAAAATATACGAAATTATTCCTAAAAAATTGGAAAGTATTATAACCTGAAATATTACAGATTGATAATTATTTGTGTTAAATGATTGTACAAGATTGAAGGCATGACAAATCAATAAAAAAATTGATAATTAAACTTGATACATATAATCAATAAAATAATTCAATTGCGAAGCTTCAAAGTTCAAGAATAAATTTATTTTTTTTTATTTTCGCAATTGGATTGTTTTATTATTATCTTTTCTTATTTACATATATGTATCAACTTTAATTATCAATTTGTAATATTTAAAGATCATGATCAATAAAACAACCCAATTGAGAAAATTAAAAAAAAATTTATCCTCAAACTTCAAAGCTTCGAAGTTGAGAATAAATTTGTTTTTTTTTATTTTCGCAATTGGATGG